ATAGAGTTTGAGGTTTTTGAAAACCGACAGAGGATTTTTTTCTGTATTTCAAACTTCAGCTCTATTTTGCCCAAACTCAAGAACTGATACATGATTTATCTTTTAGCATCTCACAATATTTAGATCCTAAAGCAGTGGTGCTCAGTTAATGCCACTGGGCCTAATCAGGCCCGCACAAGGGTACGAGAGGGCCCACGGACCATTTTCTAATCACAGTGATGATAAATGTTAAATAATGTTCCTCGCTATTACTCACTGATTTTGAGACTATAAAATTTTAAAGACAAATGAGTTTTGAGCCATTTTAATGTTTCTTCATTTCATCTGAAAAATATTATTGTTTGTTGATTATCTGGCCCCTGAAGTTTCCCCTAGACAAGGCAAGTAGAGTATCCCTGCCTTACAGGATGTGAAGTGTTTCTGCTACTATGAAAATAATGTGAGTATTGACCTACAGACAGGTTTGTTGTCCTTAACTGTGATTTAAATGAAGACAAATGGACACGGCAGCACTGCCAGTGAATCCAAGTCAGTGACCTTTGTGGAAGTTTTTGTCAAAGCCTGTTTTACAAATGACTGCAACTGCAGCCAAAGCCAATATAAGTATATATATTTATCAGTATTACAGCAACATCCCTGCACTCATTTGGCCACCAGGCTGCTACTGTACTGCACCTGCCCCCACAAAGGAACCTTAACTCCCCACCTTTGACCCTTGACCTCCTAATGGTGCAGGTTAGACGGCGGTTTGATTTGTTCCGAAGAAGCCTCTTTGGTCTTAATGGAGAGCTGTCTCGAATGCTGACTGGGCTCATCCATCAACCTCCTTAGCCAAAGAGCACATTTTTCAGCAGTTGTGTCACCGTTCCCTTGAGCTCAAACCCACACACATACAGGAGGTATGACTAATATTTATTTGGTAAAACAGGTTTTGCAGAGAGCAAAATAGAAATGACTATTAGGAGACAGAGATTAACTGAGTTGTGAGGCAGTTTGACAGCTTCAAGCTGCTCGGCCGTGTCAGGAATGCCGTTGTTTCATCAACACGCGCCACGTAGCCAGTAGACAGTCAAGGGTGCTGATAGAGATTGTGTGTCTCCAGACAGTGCCATTCTGTTAATCATGATAGAACAAAGCAGGCGGATCCCCTGATGACAACGATAACAGCCTGACAGGATCACAAGACAAAACACACACACATCCACACACACAGACACACACTGCAAGGGCCCTGAACAATGACACTCCCCCAGCTGTCTAGACAGAGTGCAGGGCTGCCGTTAGCCAGCTACCGGAGATCTCAGGGGGGATTAGAGCTCACACAGCTACACTCACCTGTTCTTAGCTGCTTGTTTCTCGGTGTGTTTTTTCATGCAGCCTTGATGCGATGTGACAGGCACAGAGGGAGCCGCGGCGTATCAGGAGGTATGGAAACAAGTTATACATAGAGTACAGCTGTGGATGACTTATTCACACGGTAGGAAATGCGGCATAAGCAATGCAGTTGTAAAATAACAAATCTAGTCCGAAAAAGTAACCCTTTGTGAAATTTTAAAGGAAGTATTGATTCTATTTCCGTCTGTCAGTCATAAGACTCAGTGTCGGGTAGGATGGTCCTCCCTGGGAGTTCACAACAAGGCATGGGTTTTGTAGAAAGTGAGAATTTGCGAATTGTTTGAGTAATATGGCGTGGTATAGCCAACAGCTTATGACGGCTGATGTGTAGCAAACCTTGAATTAGTGAGTCAGTTTGCTGACTTTCTGACTCTTTTCTGCATGTGACCTTTTCCTCTGTTTTGATGACACTGCTCAACCAAAGTTACATAATCTGGCTCTAGCTGGAAGTGTGAAATGCATCATGTCTTTTTTGTGAAATATTTATTCACTATATCAGTTCAAACTCTCTAAATCATAACCCCCCCAAAATCATCTTGGCTTCGTTTTAGTGGCGCGGCAAAAAACAAGGTCATCACCTGTCACACGCAGACAGTGGCTGGTCTATTGCGCAATGCACACACCTGCAGAGGAGCGACATGACTGACTTCTGCTCACGTTCCACAAACTGTGAGTTATCGGCATCGGGAGACGCGGAGCCGTGATGAAATAATGAATCAGAGCCTGAGAATTGCTGGAGGGAGGAGCGGGGGGGAGCCGAGGCGAAAGGCAGCAGCGAGAAATAAGGAGAGTGGAGATTATCGTGAGCGATAGAAGAAATGGTTGACAGTGTGAGCACGTAGAATAAAAAACTCTCCGTCACTCCCATATACGTACGAATACAAACACAGAGACGGAGGGGTGTGAGCGTGTTTGTATGCATGAAATGACTCAGATAAACTGTTGGATTTAGTCACACAGACACCGAGAGCTGAGCAGACTTTGTGCTCCTGCCAGTCCTCGCATAAAGGAAGTTCCCTTTTATTTATCACAAAGCCTCTTCTTCTGCATCCTTGTCTTTTTTAAAGGCGCGTTGGATTTGTCAGTTTCTGTGTTTATCAGGCCATGTCTTCTCCGTGGCTGCGTGTTGTAATCCAATCTAGAGGAGGTCACTGCAAGGACACCCTGGGATTGCCTGTTTTGGAACCTAATCTAGACATTGGCAATAACTTTTCTACACAGAAAAATGTTGTTTTAAGAATATTTTAGAGCTGCATTTTGGATTAAGGTGGGAATAGTTCTCAATGCATGTCTTTGGTAATGTCTAAGCCTGTGAAATGAGCTATTTAAATACCCATTTATTCACTCTTACGCGTGGGTTTTCCCTCTTAGGTATGGCGTATAGCTTCAGCTCAGTGCAGAGTATCATTCACTCACTTAAACACCTCTTTTTTTTTCCCCCTGTCACATGTTATTGTCAGTGTTTCACAGAGCAGCGTGGAATGGGGAGCTATGATTATAGCTTTGAGAAACAGACAGGAGGATGTCGGCCCTCTTTAACCACAACAGATATTATGAGAGATATGGCTTCGGGTGTCAGTGGTGTAAGTGGGAAGGAGGGCTATGAAGACGCCTTTCAGAAAGCTAGATCCCCACCACCCCCTCCTCCTCCAGCCTTTTGTGTGCCTGTCTGTGTGTGTTTGCGTCTAGGTGTGCATGAGTGCATGAATAAGTGCTGGAAATGTGGAGGAACAAAGACAAGCTGGATGCCTCTCACAGGAAACTTGAGACATGAACCGCTGTTCTACATGCCACCGAGTGTTTGACCTTTAACCACGGGGACCCGTGACATCGGTTTATCGAGGTGGGGCCTGAAGGTCGCCGGAGGAGGAAAGAAAGGCCGCAGAGGAATGCTACCTGCAGTGTCTTAGGACGGTAACTGATGTGGTCATGTCGTGCCACATAGCTGCAGATGCTCTCTCGTGTTGTTTTTAGTGTCATTAAAGTAGTTCCAGTAAAGCTCTGCCCTATCTGACAACATTAGATGGGGCAGAGGGCTTCTTTATTTCAGCGCTCCTCTGTTTTTCTGCTGTATTTAGTGTGTATATATATGTATTTGTATGTGTACACATTCTGAGCCAACCCTGACTGTTGTCTGCGCTACAAACAGCAGGAAGAATACGCCGTGTTTACATCTGAAATAACTTCCTGCGTGTTGCTCAAGGTCTTGCTGTCAGCATGCGGGTTCGCTGCCTTTCTCGTGACTCGTGCAGCCAGAGAGGCTTTGTACAACTGAAGGCACATAGAAACCACAGTTGTCCTTGGTGATCATGACTGCCAATTACAGGTAGATGAGTTTTTAGTCAAATGAATGTAGAACGCAGATGTGTGGAAGCCAAGTGGTGTTAAAAGTATAAAATGAGTTACTTGCTAATTGGCGTGCACAAATTTTCATTCGGTTTAACCAATTTTTTAAAATGTTTCTACCTTTGCATTTTAAAACTTGGTAATTAAAGAGGGTTTTCTGTTATGTCACATTTATGTAAGTGACATGAGAGTGATGGCTGATGATGGTAATTGCACCCCGAGGAGCACAATGCTCTCTGTTTCTGTAGTATCTCCACTCTCGCTTACTGTATGTTAAGTGCGCCTTTCTACTACAGCTGCAGGTTTGCTCCATTGAGGGGAAAAAGCTTGTTGAATTTTTAAAATGTGTAACTGAACACATTCTTAAAGAGAAAGAAACGCAGGGCAGTGTTGGAGGCTGAGTGACCCATTTTTATTCTCTCCTCTGGCTTGTCGGTGTGGAAGTTGGGGCGATTGGTTGGGGACGTACCGGGGGGTTATTCCCCAACAGCCACAGAGGGTCATTAGGTGGAGGAAATAAGAGCATTTGCTGCAGAGAATAGGGATGAATAAGAAATGATACACTGGGAGGATGAACAAAAAAAGATGGAGAAAAAGGTGTGCAGGCTGTTGTAGAGGCTTAGCAGATTAAGTGCTGTGGGAGGGAGGAAAACAGAATGATGCCTTAGTTAATTAGTTAAGTAATTCATTGTGTCACGGATGTACAACTGCCCATGATGTCGAAAATTAATCACTGAAGAAACACTCGTCAAATATGAATCTCATTTCTTACACATAACAATACATTGTTAACAAAGACCTTCAGTCCCAAGCTTAACAAATATAATCTGCCACAAAAAGACTCATCAGACATGGACATTTATTTATAAGACACTATAAGCCTTACACCATACAGTGATCAATTAAAGATGAACCAGAGTTGATCTTCAACCTCACTTACATCACCTAGCAAAGTGTTTTCTCCTCTAGTAGACCACTGAAGCCATGTTTCTGTCACTAATGGTGATGTCTCTAAATGTAGGTGTGCACAAAGAAGATCAGCTGCTATAAATGTACACAAATACACAATGTCTTATTTGTATGGCTATGATTAGAAGTTGTGCTGGAGACAAGACGGGAGTAAATTTGCATTAAATTAATGTCCTCCTGCCAAATCAAGCGTGCTCACATTACTTGAGTTTGCCTTTCATAAAACCCAACTTCATCCTTCTTGCCCATTCTGTCCTGCTGACAGTGTTTTCTCTGTGTTTGTATTCTAGTCAGGAATGCCCCAGACTGTGTGCTCAGGCACCATGTTTACCACTCCCAGTGGCTTCAGCCCTCATCTGGCCTGTGCTGAGCCTGGGGAGGAGGAGGAGGAAGCCCCGCAGGAAGGCCCGGGGCCCGGGGCTTGCCTGGCTGATGGGCCCGCGATCACCTCCGCCTCCCTGGACACCCTGATCCAGAACCTGGTGCCCACTGCCGACTACTACCCCGAGGTAAGCTGAAATACCCTACAGTGGCTCCACTGCTCATTAAAAACTCCATCCGCCTCAGGAAGTCCATTTTGCTTTATAGTTATAGTGACAGTACTGCCAATTAGATGATTAACCCCACGTCGCTGCTTAAAGTGCTACTCTGCTTCCTTTAATTACAGAAACTGCAGTGTTTTTATTGATGTAGTGGGAATGTCTTAGTGAATGTCTCCTTCTGTCCTTTGACAGAAAGCCTATGTGTTTACCTTCTTGCTGAGTGCTCGTCTGTTCATTCCTCCTCCGGAGCTGCTGGCGAGGGTGTGTGAGCTGTGCATCAAACAGCAGCAGCTGGATCAGAGCCCACTCGATACGGTCAGCACTGCACCACACATAAATACATATTCCTGCATGTACGCGACCAAGCTAATGAAGAGGAATGTTGGCAGGCATTTCAGAAGCATTCAGGCATACTTGTGTTCTGCATGTAAGCAGTCTCTGATTTTTGCCGTCCGCTTTGTGATGGCTTCACTGATGCGGTCCCGAGCTCAGACGGTAGTAAACCCTCTTTTATTTCTTCAACAACAGGCGAAAGTGCGCAAGTTTGGTCCCAAGATCCTGCAGCTGCTGACAGAATGGACAGAGACGTTCCCGTCCGACTTCAGGGATGAGAAGATGGTCGGACACTTTAAAGACATCATCCACAGAATAGCTCCGTGTGATGAGGTACGCCAATGACCTGTAACTGCAGCCGTGTGATAGAGCTCCAATCATCTTTGTACAAGATGGGATTTTTCTTCCAGTTTCAGAAGGATCAGCAACAATATGTGATGAGCTGTAAGACTCGTGATTTTGATCCACTCTATAGGAAGTCGTCATTGTAGCGTTTATAAGCTGCAGCTGCAGTGAGAAATGCCCTGATGGGGAACAAAATTTAATTATCATCACTACCTCTGTGGTGGGTGATGGAAGGAGTCAGAGTGTCAGCGTAGGGTGAGTAGCCACAGCCTAACTGTTACACAATCTTACGTTACAGGAGAGAGGGAGAGGAAGGAAGGATATTAGAGGAGTGGTTCTATCTGCAGCCTCGAGGGAAAATAGAGGGAGGGAGATGGATGGAGAAAATGGGGGAGGGGATGGGATACAGGGGCACACAGAGAAAAGGTAGGAGAGGAGGAGGTGGAAGAGGAGGAGGGTGAGGTCGGTGTCGGAGAGCAGGAAAAATGGAGTGAGGTGAAGGGAGGATAGAAAGAGAGGAGGGGCAGGTGGTGATGAATGTGCTGCTATTTACAGCTGACTGTCTACTATATGGGTGTGTGTGCATACATGTGGGAGCTCTGGGTCATTTGTGAGACAGACTGACCTAATGGCCTCCGTGAGCGGTCATCTGGAGGGAGGGGAGGGAGGGAGGGACGCTAAACACACATTCCTGGATACAACACACAGCACAACAACGCTGAGCTGTGAAAACCTCAATAACATGTATTACTTCAGCTGACAAATTCCATTGTAGCCATAATATGTCATTAGATTGTGTCAATATACATATAAATATGTTGTTTTTACATCTTTTAAATCTTAATGGAGATTAAATGTTTTCTCGAAACTGCACATATATATAGGATTTACAAATCATCTCATTAGCTCTAAATACACACTCACATGCTATACAGGGCAAATTTACATGATGATTCAAATGCAGTCATAGAGAGGTCAGTAGTGAAGGAGGAAGGAACTGAGCCTTCAAGTGAAAATATGAACACAGAGAACATTCAATTTTTTATTAAATTAGAAATATTATTATGGATTTAAAGTTTCAAAAGTAATAAACTCACTCTATACTCACTTGTATATACATATCTATGTAATTGTCCATTTCAGTGTTGTGACATTACTAAATTAACTTTTATCACATATCCCTGAACTCTCTGAACCCCAAAACCCGCTGACCGCTTTGAAATTCATGTTATTTTTTCAGAAATTGCCAAATTTACCCAATTTATCAAAGGCAGAAACCATAAAAAAACCCAAAAAGAATTGTTCGATTTTGGATTTTCCAACTGTACTTGAACTAATCAAATGTGACATACAGTTCAGTCAAGTAAAATGACCAAATCTAAGCTGTTTTCTACGTGTCTCATTTAAAAACTACTGTTTGCACTAGCCAGATACTGTAAAGAAACAAAACACTCTGAGTTCCTCCGCACAACCAAAAACCTAAGTGACGAAGCTGTGATGAACTGTCGCACAACAAAAATTCAGGTCTTTTTCGGCTGAACTGCAGGTTGTGTTTACAAAGAACACTGTGGAAGCAAATTCAAAAGTTAGGTAATAAAATATTAACAGTGTGCAAATGCAGCATTTTTTCCTAGAACTGGAAAGACCGTGTGGAAAAATGACCATGTTGATTCCAGGTTTTTGTATTTCTGTATTCGTCAAAGATATTCAGCTGTACTTTTTTCTTATTTTATGAGTTATGCTTTTATATTTTGCACAAAGGTAAATTTTGAGCTCTTGCCGTGGTTGTGCGTGCTGTTTCCATAGTGACGCAGGACTTACTTTTGTTGTGAAAAATGAGCCCACAGTGAGGGAAAAATGGGGCAGGAGCAAATAAAAATAAAAAGCAGATT